GGAAGCCCTCCTTCCGAGGAACCACGAGGCTGGGAGTAAGTCGCTGGTCCGAAAACCGGCGCTCCCCGCCCGAGGCTCCCCGTGTGCTGGGGGCCCACCCTCCGGGAGCCAGCAGGCAGGAAGCTAGCCAACCAGAAGGCTGGCGCTCCCCACCCGCAGCTCCCTGTGTGCCGGAAGCCCTCCTTCCGGGAAACCACGAGGCCGGGGTATTTTGTTCTTGTATTGGGTATTTTGTTCTTGTATTGCTTGTCATATATTATGCAAAAGGTAGAAGTAAAAATTTGAAAGAATTTGGAAATAAGGATGGCCAAATGTCACATTTATTTCAGCTAGCTTTTCTACGGCTTGGACAAAATATGTGACATCCACAATTTAAATGAAGAGAAGTTATTTTGACTATGGTTTCAGTCTTTGATTGGCCAACTCCAAGACAGAAACAGGCTGGAAGAGAGGCATGGAGGAGAAGAAGGTGCTCAACTCATGACATCCAGGAAGCAGAGAGAGAGAGAGAGAGACAGAGACAGAGAGAGAGACAGAGACAGAGACAGAGACAGACAGAGAGAGAGAGGGACAGAGAGAGAGAGATGGATCCAGGGATGAGAATATACTCTTCTGTGTCACACTATCAGTGACCCACCTCTTCTGATCACACCACACCTCCAACCATGAGAATATTGTAGGACATTTTAGACCTGAACCATAACATTCTGCCTTGGCCCCCAATAAGTTCATGTGCATCTCATTATACAATATGCATTTAGTCCACCTCTAAGAGTTGCCGAATTCTTAACAGTTCCATCAGTGCTGAAAAGTATAAGTCCAAAGTCTCCTCTGAGACTCAAAATAAACTCTTAGCTATGTGTCCCTGTTAAAAGAAAAACAAAAAACAACAACAAAAAAAACAGTTACATTCCTGTTCCAAATGAGAGAAAAGAGGATAGACAGAAATTGGACCAAATCAAGATTTAAACCCAACAAAGCAAATATTATATCCTGTAGCTATATGTCTAGTAGTCAGCGCAGGTAGTGGTAAGATGTGAGCTCCAAATGACTTGGACAGCTCTGCCCCAGTGGTAATAATGGTTGTAGCTCATGTGTCATGTCTTTTAGGCCAAGTTTGCTAAGTCCCTGTGGCTTGTAAAATGTTCAGCAGACATTCCGCATTTCTAGCCTCTCAAGCCTCTTGGGGTCTCCATTGAACTTTCAGTTTCAGCCTCAAAACTTCATATACTGCACTCTCTGAGGCTTACTGCTTAGCCTGCTAGGCCTTCATCTGCAATACAGGGGGAAGACTCCCTGAGCTCAGAACTCTTGCATTCTACATGCCTATAAAACCAGCACCACATTGATGATGTCAGTATTTGCCATCAGTTGGAGTAGTAACCAGGCTCCCTTGGATCATAGCTGCAGGGGCCTCTGAGTGCTTAGATGAATGAGTTTAGGATGCATTTTACTCTGTAGCCCTGAGTGATCAGAAATCTGTGGGGCTTTCTTTTGTGATGAATGGCTTATGCTTTTGCACCTCTGATCCTGAGAAGGGTGGGGTTTTGTGCATTCCTGAGATGTCTTTAAGCTATCTTATTGTCTTGATGCAAAGTACTTGGTTTCTTTTTAACACTAATCTTTTCAGAAACCACATTCTCATTTACGCCCATTTTGTAGGTACTTCTCTTCTGATGAAACAGAAAACATTTACATGCACTTTTTGTTCCTGATTTTTACTCTAGATCTGGCTAAAAGCAGCCGGTAGTACCCACCCCACAGCTTGAATGTTGCTTTGAAATTTTACTTGCCAGATTAATTAGTCCACCACTTTAATTCTCAGTCTCCTACAAAGTCTCAGGACATGGGCAAAACATGGACAATTTTGGCATATGTGTGTTGCAGGCAGGGCATAACACACATCGCTTCTACTCCAACTGCTAATGGAGTTCTTGCTCCCAACTGAAATCTCCAGAGTCTGGTCTTATTGTCTGTCTTATTCTCAGCATTCTGACATTCTGTGCTCTGACAAAAATGTCCCATCAACCTTAGTTTACAGCATTTTAGGGCTTCTGTAGTCAGCATCTCCAAACCTGTCAAAATCTTCCCATAAACCAGTTCTAGCAGCTTTTAAACCACATGGTCAGGTATATTCATAACAATAACCTCACTCTAGGTACCAAATTTGTATTCATTAGCTTTACTGTCACTGGGACAAAATACTGGACACCCACAACTTAAAGGAGAAGAGGTTTATTTTGACTCAGGAATTTAGTTCATGGTCTGCTAAGACAGAAATGAGTTGTATAATCAACTCATGGCAGCCAGTAAGGAGAGAGAGACCAGTAAGCAGAGACAAAAAGGAGGAGCTGGGACAAGAATACACCAAAAGTTTCACCCTCACTCACCTATCCTTTCCAGCCAGGCTCCACCTCCAAGTACGGGAATTTGAGGGGGGACATTTTAGATCTAAGCCATAACAATATTCTAGGAGTTAAATTAATAAAAACATTCTAGATAAGATGGATAAGATTATTTACCATAAATGTGTTTTAGTCTATGAGATGTTTTGTCAGAATAATACTGATAAAGGCCTGAGAAACATATACATCCATCATCCACTCCTGATAAAGACTGGTCCACTGAGAGTAAATAGTTTATTAGTCATGTCATATACTATGTGTTGCATAATTTAATCTTCTCATCTACCCTACAAGATGTAAGTATTATCCCATTGTCCATAAGAAAAACTGACTGCAAATATTTTCTTTCCTTCAAATTCACAAAGCTATTTGGTGGCATTTGTGAGAGGAAAAATCAAGTTTGACTTCGAAGATCTGTGTAGTAAATTATTATCCTTTTGTAACTTCCCATGTACATCCTAAAACATTTATAATTTTATTAACTTTATTTAAACTTAAAGTAACAGTGTAAATTTAAGTATAACCCTGAGGATCAAGGCAAGAAGGAAAAGAGGAAACAAAAGGAAAAAGAACAGGTTATGAGACACATACTATACAAATAATTGGTGTTTTCAAAAGACATTTACTCCATTATGGAATAGAAGTACCTCACCAGGTTTATTTATCTTGAACAAACTATCTCAAGACTATATGATTCTTGGGTACCTTGACACTATAAACAAAGTGCTATTGATTGCTAAAACAGCACTTGCACTGGAAAAGGAAAATAAATCATTAACTGATATTCTGCTTTATATGTCAGTTCCATGCAGTTTAAAAATGAGTTCCTCAATAGGATCTTATTACCTCTGAGAGAAAATTCAAAAAGTTTCTATCTGCATCTCTAGACTAGAGAAAAAGATTTTAAGCATAGATATCCCCCCTTAGAAAATATTATTTTTTAAAAAAATCCATGCTCCATTTTCACTTCCTCATTTTGTAGTTGTGGCCTATTGTATTTCTACAGTAAGACTGACATCTTCTGGAGGATAGTAACTACTTAGTCATAGTCCCATCTTCCACAACATGCAGAACAAGAAATATCATAAATGTTTCTGCAATAAGAAAAATAATAAGGCATAGGTATGGTGACCCCTCAATTTCAGGTATAGAGATTTACAAACCAAATTTAATATGTGTATAGATCTTGAGGCATTTAAGAAACTGGCTCATCAAAAAAAGAAAAAGAAACTGGCTAATTAAATCATGGTAGTGTTTGATTCAATATTAAGTACTGCTTGCTGAATTGGGAGTAAAAGTGAATGTTAAACATGAGCCAGTGGGTATCTCAGCTCAGGAATTAAGACAGTAGAGAGTTTGGGGAAACATCAGAGGGAACCAAAGTTCAAACCCAAGGTGATGCTGGTGCTCCTTAATCCTGACAATGTGTGCTTTGAGTCTGTTAACATGTTGCAGAGCCAGGTCACTTACTTCCTGTCTTCTTTCTATTTTTTAGGGCAAGGATATTGCAGCATGGGTATGAGTAGCTTGAAATTGCTGAAGTATGTCCTATTTTTCTTCAACTTGCTCTTTTGGGTAAGTGTGTTTCTTCTGAGAATGGTTGAGCTAACCTTTACCCAATAAACTCACTTTCTCTCTCCTACAAAGAGTCTGGCATGAGCTGGGCATGATGGTGCAAACCTATAATCCCAGCACTCAGGAGGCTGGGGATGGAGGATAACCCCAAGCCCAAGGCCAGCCTGAACTGAACTACAGACCAAGACCCTGTTTCAAAAAAAAGAGTCTGGCATGAAATGAAACTCATGAATATTTCCATCGTGTCCTGCACACCAAGCCTCAGAAGAAAAGAGTAATAATTTTCTCTCTCTACCCATCCTACAATAGTATAAGCTTACAAAACTGAAAGATAGTGCTGCTATCAATGGAGGTATTGTTTCTCTTTGGGGGTTTTAGACTGCTGCTCAGAGCTGACAGCTATAGATTAAAAAAAATGAAAATTTAGGTATTTAGAATGTGTTCCCCCTGGTATCTTGAAAGAATAACTCATTGAAAGTGAAAATATCAGTATGTAATACAACAAGCATTGTTAATTTCCCACTACTTTGTTTGTAACTCTGTATTGTCTGTACTGTTCTTTTGCTATTTGGGTAAAAGGTTGTCTGTCTGTTAATGTTTTCCTCCTTTTATTTTTAAAATTAAAAAGAAAGTGAAGTCACCTTTTCTGGGAAGGTTTCCCTTTATCAAATGCAGCAACTGAATTTTATATATAGGATAGATTAGGGCTCATGTGTCCATAACATGATTCTTAAAAGTTTGGCTTCTGTAGTGTTTTACCCAGAAAAGTTAGCTACCTTAAGGAAATCATCTCCTTTACAATTCCCTAGTTTCCAAAGGAAACCATGAGTGAGTAGTTGAGGGACAAGAAGTGGGATATTTGAAGCATAAAGTTAGTTTTTATATGGTAGAAGTATTGTGTGACTCACAGGGGTGACCTTTCCTTGGTATTTGAAAATGTCTAGGATGAGATCTGAATAGGAATCCATATGAAAATGCAGGAATTTCTTCTTTTCTAGGACTGTGGGAAAACTGGGAAAAGAAGTTGTAAATGAGAGTCTTGACTGAATCTATAGAAGGAGGTGATTTTGATCTCAGAAAACTGAGAATGTGGATAAGCAGATAATCAAGAACCACGCGTTATCTCAGAATGTTACTGGATTCTTCCTTTCAGTTCTGTGGCTGTTGCATTTTGGGCTTTGGAATCTACTTCCTGATCCATAACAACTTTGGAGTGCTCTTCCATAAACTTCCCTTCCTCACACTGGGAAATATTCTTGTCGTCGTGGGCTCTATTATCATGGTGGTTGCCTTCCTGGGCTGCATGGGCTCTATCAAGGAGAATAAGTGTCTGCTTATGTCGGTAAGTCCTTACCGCATGTGATGTTCTAAATCAGGGGAGGGATAGTTGATGCTTCAAATCCCAGACAATAGGTTTCTTGGTAGATCACATATAGGCACAGGGAAAATATGGGATTGGCACCTCAGATAGGCCCAGTTTATCCAGACCAATAATATTGTTTCTGACTGGGATCCTAGAAATTGGTGGGAGAGGGCATGACTATCTTCCCTGGCATCTATTGTCCTCTATGAATAATGACTTTTGTCATTATAATTCCCTTCACCACAAGGGAATTTAGTTTTTTCTCCAACTCTGGTTGAAGTCAAGTGTCATCTATCTGCCTAAATTCTCATTTTGGAACATACTTCAGGTTCTGACCTGGAGTCACTAACTGATAGAAAAATAATCACTAGACTTTTCTAAGCATGGAGGCCCTCCTCAAAAAGCAGTGGATGTTTGCTTAACTCATATATGCCCAAGACAGTCTATAGCAAGACTGACCTAACTTAGGTGGTGTCTATAACTGCGGAGAGCTTCTCAGTCATTCCCTGTCATGTAACCATTCTGAAATGCACTCAGACTTAGGTTTTACCCTCAAATATTGTGAAAGAGGAGTGCTACATATTTCTAGTATTCCCAGGACAGAGTTTGGTAGGATTGCACCTCTCTAATCCATAGTTATGGGTTCCTGATAACCTTGGTTCTTCTTAAGTCATTTGGTTAATCTTTTCTTTGCCGATCAACTGTAAGAGAAATAATAATAGGGTGTCTCTTTTCCCTAATCTGTATAGGACACCTCTCAACTTTCACCACCATCCATCCTTTTTCTGAGGTAGCCTTGATCTAGTAGAAAATGTCAATCACCAAACTGTAAAGACATAGTTTTTTGTAAAGACAAAGTGCTGTCTTTTGCTCAACTGTTTCAATAGGTTGATACCAATAGGTGGTAAAGGCTTCATTTATTCAATGGTCAATGTTGAATATGTATTATGTGCCTGCTAATCTGATAGGCATAATGGATACCAGAGAACAAAGTTACAAGACTTCTGATATGCTCTTTAAAATGTAGTTATAGGAAAGGAGCAAATAGTTTTCATAAAACAAGAGAAGGCACACAAAACCCTGAGGAATCAGAAACAGGAACATCCTGACTGTGGGCAGAGACCTGCCTGGATGTTCCCCAGCAGATGTGGTGGGCCAGACACTGAGATCACTATCATGATGTCTCTTCTTTTCCCAGTTCTTTGTCCTGCTGCTGATTATCCTCCTTACTGAGGTGACCTTGGCCATCCTGCTCTTTGTGTATGAACAGAAGGTAAAGTTATAAAGAACGCAACTCTTTGTCTTATTGCAGAGAGTGGAGAGGGTGTAGTACAGAATAAATCCTTATAATACAAGTAGGAACTAAATGCAGGATGGTGGAAAGAGAGGTTAATTGTAATTAGGGAAAAAATGTTATAAAAGATATTGTATTTAAGTGTGCTTTGAAAGGTGACTGGAAAGAACAGTAAAACACTTTTATCTTCTAAACTTGTTCATCTGCTTTCCTTATTCATTGGTCATGAAGAATGTCTCAGTGCTCAAGGATAGTCTTTGCTCTAATCATACCTTTTCCTCCTACATAAAACCATAGTTTGAGGAAGATAAAGAGTCCATTGTGTACTTTTTCCTTCAATGCCATCTCATCTTCAGCTGCTCTTCCCTTATATATAGTATACCTTCCTCTCACTTTCATAGTTCTTAGGAAAACTATGAACTCACTTTCTTGAATTCACTTGCTTTTTACAACATCTTCTCCTCTGGAACATGGCCTACCCAGTTGAACACCTATGTGGCTGAGGGCCTGACTGAGAGCATCCAACGTTACTACTTAGACAACAGCACCAAGGCGGCGTGGGACTCTATCCAGTCATTTGTGAGTACAGATGGAATTATTCTCAGATCAGCCCAAACTTCATTTCCCACACTTAATCCCTGGGAATGAGTACTCTTTTCCTGGAAGTGTCAGTCTACTGTCTATGGCCCTCAGGTCCAGAATATTTCCTTAACAATAAAGACAGGGGAGATAGTATTCAGTCTTCTTAGTGCAAAATTTTCTACATTTTCTTGTTCATCCTTTACCAACTCAGATAAGCTCATTGTTTAAGCCCTAATAAGATGTGAAGAAAACCTAAATATATCATATTGGGTCACTTACCTGTTTTCCAAAAGTTTACCAAAACCAGTAATTGTATAATACAAGACATCTCTGTTGAATTCCCCTCACTCAAATTAAGCTTGTTACCTAGCCCCCAGGACCCCATTCCTCACATCCACCCCATCCACAAAAATATTTACTAATTCCATGTGTTGGGGGATAAAAAAGGGCTAAGGAACTTTATACAAGCATAGTTAATGTCTCAAAGAAGAGCACTAGGAACACATGCTGGTGTAGTATGGAGTAGAAGAAATAATATAGGAATGAGAGCATTGAGTCTAGCATTGAATGGCTTTGGGAAAGTCATCTTCTCTAAATTGCAATTCATTTTTTTCAATTCAGTTTAGAAGTCTTTTTATTATGTAATTTTATATGCAAATGTAAAGACAATGTTAGCAAAATGAATCTCCAGGGCTATATCACCAGCTACAAGAGTTGACCTTTTGCCAGTGTCATCACATCTAATTCTATCCACAGGTTTTGCTAGATTATTTTAAAGCAAATATGCAACATGATGTGGTTTTACCCATTCAATATCGCCCATATACAGTCTATAATAGAAATTATCCTAATTTTCTCTAAATCACCTAAACTGATTTGCTCAAATCAAAATCTAAATAAGAGCCATATATTATAGTTGAATATTGTTTTTTAATCTGAGATAGTATTTTTCTTTGTTTATGCTACATCTTTGTGGAAGAAGTTATGGGATTTTTTCCTATAAATGTCTCCACTTTTTATGTCTTGCTAGTTGCTTCCTTGAAGTATTTTTGTGTAAGATATTCTTCGTTTCCAAAAAACCTTGTGACTGAAGCTTGATAAGGTTCTGTTTTATGAAAAGACTACTGTAGTTGGTACTTCCTGTTGAATCACATAAGCAGGTACATAGTGTATAACTGTCCTGTTTTCTGTGGTCTAGTTGGTGAAACTAGATGTGGCCAGCTTGATCATCCCCTGGATGTACAATTTGTGGTCATAAAATGTGAATAAATTGAACCTGGCTTCTCTACTTCACAGACATGTGATGTGAATAAAATAGTATCACAGACTTGAAAGGACTTTGATCTAAGGAGTCCATGAGTATAGTACAATCCTAGAGTTTCTGTTATAGAGACAGATCTGAATAGCCACTGTTTGTCTAAGCTCCAGTTTTCTTTCTGATTCTCATTTTTCAATCTAACCATCATGTTTTGGGGAGTTTGTCTTTTAGCTGCACTGTTGTGGTGTAAATCAGACAAGTGACTGGAACGGAAACCCACCAGCATCTTGCCCCCCTGAACAAGGAGTTAAGGTAATTTTTTGGTAAAGGTCCTGATATCCATATCTTTGAGTTAGTAAATCTTAACCTGCTACTTATGTCTCTAGGCCTGCTTTGGAGATGGCAGGATTCAGCCCCTTCATGAAATGAATCAGAAATGAATCATAAATGAAGGGGCGAGAGGTTGGGAAATGGTCATTTTAACTGCTAAAACAACCTGCCTATCTTCAAACCAGAAAAGTCATCTTCCAATCAGACCAAGTCCCTAAAATCCTGTTCTCACCACATACTATCCATACTTGAGGTGGTTTGAGAATCCCCAGAATTTTTTTGCTGTGTGCAGAAAAACAGTGGCACACACCAGCTAACAGTGTCTCTGGCAGTTCGTAGGGTTGATAGACACACTAGTTATTGACATGCAAGTTAAACCTAGGATTGCTTAGCCTATATTATGGTTTTAAATATTAGATGAACACTGAGCATTCAAAGAACATAAGGAAATAATTGTTAACCTACCCTTTGGGAGCTAGTTTAATTCTGTGGGTAAGGATCTAGGACTTCTACATTAAATGCCATTGTATTGACAATATCACCAGAAAAGTCTCCAATTTAATATCCTCTAGTAATATTGGTTTCTTTATCCATTCAAAGAAAATAAAAATATAATATATGACTTAAATCTCCTTGTATTATATAAGACAAAACACAAATTACCTTCTCAAAAAATCTTCCACTTGTATCTGTAATTTGCTCCTAGGGTTGCTATATGAAAACACAAGATTGGTTTCATTCCAATTTCCTGTATATTGGAATCATTATCATCTGTATATGTATGATCCAGGTAAGAGTTTAATCCTAGCAATACAATCAGAATTAAATGAGTTAAGTCATATAAAGTTTTAGAACAGTAATAGTTACATAATAGGTACATAATAAACCTTATCTATTTTTATCAGTATATGAATTTTCCAGTCAAGTAGCAAATGGTATTATTACCAATTTGACTTAAGACATACAGAAAATAAATTATAAGTACATCTATTTATCTAACTTCACCTTCAGAGATGAGTGATTTGCAGCCCAATTAAAAGCTACCAAGACAAAACCTCACTTTGATCCCTCCTCAATTTATCTGGATGAAACAGCACACATGAAAACTTTGACCTTGTATAATAAGAAAGAATTGATTGTGGAAGTTTGAGTTTGACAAATGAAGGGTGAATTGGGAGTAATTTGTGTTCTTTGTTGTTGTTGTGTAATATTTCTAACATTTTTCCACCCAAGTATTGGGTATATCATAGATTATTTAAGGCTTAATCAAGAAGCTGAGAGAAAAATGATATTTCTCTGCTTGGAAACCAAGGTGGCTAGGGCATGGGAGAGCCAAGTTGATGCACAGTGTTCAGGAAACAGAACTTGCCTGTATCAGCAGCAGAGGTTCTGTGACTTTTGAAGAAAACAAAATTGTCCCAAAACTTTATGCTTCATTACATTACCATCATCTTCCCCACATCATTACACAGAGATATCCTTAAACAAAAAGACAGAGCTAATAAGAAAGAATTGGAATTGATAGTGAGAAAGATTATCCCCATGTGTTAGATGTTTTCTTTTTCTATGAAGTCAATTTTTAGAGTTGTGGGTGAAATGACTTTTTTATGAAAGCCTCACACTTCCTCTTCTTTTTTCAGGTGCTGGGGATGGCCTTTGCATTGACCCTAAACTGTCAGATTGATAAAACCAGCCAGGCCATAGGGCTGTGACCTGTAACTGCTTTGTATTGGAGAGATTTGTTTCTTCTCTGGAAATCTAAAACCATTCATAGCATGAAGCCTGAAATGATCACCTGATGGACTGACATCTTTTATCCTCCTCTTATCTCTTCCCTCTTTGGGTCCCTGTCCTATATAACCAGAGAAGAAGGTGTTAGCCAGGCACTTCCTTACTCAGATAGCAAGACCTTCACTTATCTAGTAATGGCAGTAGTCATGTCCCTCAAAGTGGTGAAACATACCTGAATTATTTTTAGATACAAGAGGTGAAGAAAACCTGTGGCACAAATGGCTCAAATTCAGGGGTGGGTGAAGTATTTAAATGTTTGCATCCTTCGGTTGTTAAATCAGTCTCCAACCTCTAGCTTATGCTCAGCCTACTCTATGAAGTAATTCAAGAGATATATTGAAGGTAGTTGTGGAGCCAGACTCACTGGATCACAGTCACAATACTCTTCTTTAACCAGGGGTGTTGGATACAAGAAATACAGAATATTCTTCCTTCAAAGGACAAGGTTTCATTTCAAAATGCTTTACTGATTTATTTTGTCTTTCAAAAAACTATCCAGTGATTTAAATCTTGATTTCAAGATACAGCCACTCTTAGCCTTTGAATTACATAACTGCCAAAGAACTTAACAGCACAAGTTGTCTCTGGTGGTGAGGCTGATAGTAGCATTCAGAAGGGTTCTGATGTTATTTCTCTATCATAAAAGATTTGTTATTGTATTATATTAACTCTTCAAGAAATAAAATAGCTTGTGATGTCAATTGCAATTTTCTTACTCCTACACTTCAAACACTTCTTGTGTGACTCAATCTGATTGCTCAGGCAACAAGCTAAGTTCATTAGAAACAAACTATTGTATTAATAACAAATCAATCCAAAATCTAGCGGCTAGGAATGACAAGCACTTATCTTACAGCTCAGCAGGATCAGGAATATAGGGGCAGCTTAGCTGGATGATTCTGATTTGTGATGTCTTATATAGCTACAGCTGAGTGGTCAGGCATGGTTGCGGTCATTTCAGTTCTCAACTGGGACATTGTACATTGTTAGTGTCTCACATGGTTGTTGACAGGCTTCAAATCTTTGCCACACACACATTTTCAGGGGGCTGTCTTATAATATCCTTGGTGTGCCCCATAGTGGGACATCAAAGAAAGAGAATCAGATATAACACCCAACCATAGTCTTTTTTAAACTAACTGGAGAATGTCATCACATTAGTTCTGCTGTACCCAGTTCCCTGAAGTGACTCAAAAAGTTCAGTCCATACTCAAGGTTGTGAATACCATGGGGTGGGGATTATTGGTGTTAATTTAAGAGGTTGAGAATTGTGCCATTTTTGTTGCATCAAGAAAAGAAGATAATGAATTGTCTATATGGTCACTATATTTGTAAGGCAGAAAATCAGAGCATATCTAATACACAGCCCGAAGTACAGAACTCAGAAAAAGGAATGGAGAATGTCTGTTCTTAAGCTTTTGTGTAGGATCTCTTACTTCCCTTTAAGGAAAACTGGTAGCTTATAGGGAATTCAACATCTTTCACATTTTCCTAGGCACAAAAGGTACAAAGGAGATATTTCCTGGAGTTTTACAAGTACAAAACCTTTCTGATATATACAAAGCAAAATAGCATTATATCTTTCAAACATGTTCCTCTGCCCCCCACATCACTGGGTGATAAAAGCCACTCACCTAGTTTACTTAACCATAACCTGAGCTTTATTGTTTATTTTTTTCTGTCCTTCACTCCCAACAACTAGTCAGGTGTGAAGTTCTAACTATTCACCTACAAAATATTATCAAAATTATCTGCTCTCCTCACCTTATTTCTCATCCATATCGCTTCAGTAGTCCACTACTATCAATCTATTTTCCTAATATGTACCATTGACTCCATCTATCTGTTCTCAGTATAGCAAAACACATATTTCTAAAATTTAAATATAATTATGACATTTTCATACTTAATACCTTCCAATGATTATTCTTAGGATAAAGTTCAGATCTTTATCTGCCCAACTCTACACGGCATGTCCCATTCTTAGATCACCAGCCTCACTTTCTTCATTCTCATTCTTGCACTTGATGCCTTTGCTTTATTAATTTTTATTTAGTTGTAGGAGGCTTTATTTATATTGATCAACTTTTTGCACTTACCCTTTACCCATTTTCTGGATAATCTGAAGCCTTTCTTTTCTATAAGAAAGGTTTCTCTAATCTCATAAAGTTTGATATGGATTGAGGGACCATCTATATTTTTATGTTAATATATCATTCAATATCTATTTTCTTTTTCTATTTTATGGAAAAAAGAAAAAACTTTCAAAACAAAATAATAGAATAAGTATAATTAATACATTGCATATGCTTTATCTTTAATGTAGTTATTCAGAGTACAAGATATGGGCATATTAAAATTTCTCTAATCGATCTTAGCACAAACCTTCCTTTTCAATGAGCTAAGAGACACTACTAGTATAGCTGACTTGCATTTTTTTCCTTTTCCCCATCCTAGTCCCTTTTTCCTTTTGAAAAATTTCTTCCCATTTCACAATATTTACTATATATTTTAGACCTTATTTACTCTCCCAGTAATCACACCAGGGAGACAATACAATGTTCACACAAGGGAGTCTGATTTATTTCATTTATGAGTATGGTCTCAACTTGCATCCATTTAACTATAAAAGTTTCAATTTATACTTCTTTATGGCTGAGTAGTACTCTATTGTATAAAAATAACATATCTTTTTTATCCATTCCTCAATTCATGGGCTTTTGGGTCATTTCCAAAATTTACCCATTACAAATTGTGCTACTATAAACATAGGTGCTAATATATTGCTGTGGTATGATGTTTATAATCTTCTGGGAAAATACTCAAAAGGATAATAGATAAATTGAATGGGACCTCTAATCCTAGCTTTCTGAGGAACCTCCATACTTATTTCCACAGTGGTTGCACCTGTCTGCACTCAAACCAACAGTCGAGAAGTGTTCCTTTTTCACCACAGCCCTTCCAGCGTTTGTTAACAGATGATAGCAATTCTTTCTGGGGTGAGATGGAGACTCACTGTTGCTTTAATTTGCATTTCTCAAATAAGCAATGATGTTGAACATTATTTCATGTATTTATTTGTCATTTGTATTTCTTCATCTAAGAAGAGGTTATTCATGTCAGATGCCCATTAATGGACTGAATCTTTGAATTTGGGGGATGTAATTTTTTCCAGCTCTTTATATATTCTAGATAAAAGTCCTGTGTCTGAAACAAACTTGGCTAAAATTTTTTGCCCACTTTGTGAGTTGTCTCTTCACTATATTGGTGATTTTTTTTGACGTGCAAAAGCTTTTTAATAAGATGAGATCGCATTTGTTGATTCTTTGAACTATTTCCTGTGCAGTCTGGTTTTTATTCATGAATTCTCTGCCTACTCTATATCTTCAAGATTTCTACCTACTCTCCCTTCCAATAAATTTAGTGGTTCTATTTTAATATTTGGATCTTTGATCCTTTTTTACTTTAGTGCATAGTGATAGATATGGGTCTAGTTCTTGTACTTGGCATGTAGAGACCCAGTTTTTCCAGCATCACTGATTAAAGAGGCTATCTTTCTTCCAGTGAAATTTTTGGCCCCTTTGTCAAAGATAAGGTAACTGAGTGTGTTTGTAGTTGTGTCTATATCTTCTAATCTGTTTCACTAATCTTCAGGTCTGTTTTTTGTGCCAGTGCCATGCTGATTTTATCACAGTAGTTTTGTAGTTGTAGTATAATTTCAAGTGAGGTATGTGATGCCTCCTGCCTTCCCTTTGTTGCCCAGGATTGCTTGTTATTCTAGGTCTCTTCCATTCCCAAAGGAATTTTAGGAATGTTTTCTCAAATTCTGTGAGGCATGCTAATGATATTTTGATTGGGATTGCAGTAAATATGTATAAAAATTTTGGAAACATAGCCATTGAGCGAGGGATATCTTTCCATTTTCTGATAACCTCTGTGATCTCCTTTTTCAGAGTACTATAATTTTCAATATATACATTTTACTTCCTTTTGTTAGATTGTTTCCTAAGTATTTCATTTTTGGATGCTATCGTGAAGGTTGTGATTGCACTAATTTCTTTCTCAGTGAGTTTGTTGTTTGTGTATAGGAATGTTATTGATTTTGGAATGTTGACTTTGTTTCCAGCTACTTTACTGAATCTGGTTATTAAATCTAGAATCTTTTGGTGAAGTTCATGGGGTCTGATATGTAGACTCTATATATGCATGTCATGTTATCTGCAAACAATGATAATTTGCTTTTTTCCCTATCTTTGTACCTTTTATTTCTCTCTCTTGTTTAATTGATCTAGCTAATATTTCCAGAATTATATTGAATATGAGTGGTGATAGTGGACATCCTTGTCCTGTTGCTGATTTATACATAAAGCTTTCAGTTTTTGTCCACTTAGTATGATGTTCGCTGTTGGTTTTTCATAGATGGCTTTTACCAGATTGAGATAAAGACCATCTATTCCAATATTTGCAGGGTTTTAATGACAAGTTAGTGTTGGACTTTATCAAAAGCTTTTTCTGCATTTATTGTGATGACCATGAGATTTTTGTCTTTGGCTCTGTTGATATGGTTCATTACATTTATTAATTTCCATATGTTGAACTATCCCTGAATTCCTGGGATGAATCCCATTTGCTCATGGTGTATAATCTTCTTGATGATTTGCTGCATTCTCTTTGTTAGTATCTTGCTGAAGAGTTTTACATCTATATTCATTAGTGAGATTGGCCTGTAGTTCTCTGTTATGGTTGGAGTTGTCTCATTTTGGTGTTAGGGTAATACTTGCCTCTAGGAATGAGTTAAGGAGTATTGCTTCTCTTTCAGTTTCATTTATGAGTTTGTAATGTAGCAGTATTAGGTCTTCTCTGAATTTCTTGTACAGTTAAGCTTGAATCCATCCAGACCTGGGCTTTTCTTTAATGGTAAGCTTTTAATTTACTTTTCAATTTCATTATCTGTTATTGAGTTATTCAGAATTTTTATACTTTCTTGATTCAGCTTTGGTAACTCATACTTTTCTCAGAATCTGTTTATTACTTCCATATTTTCTATCCTATGAGAGTATAGATTTTCAAAGTGGGTATTGATGTTCTTCAGAATTTTCACAGAATCTGTAGGGACTTCACTCTTTTCACTCCTCATTGCATGAATTTGAGTTTGCCTTTCCTCTTTCGATAAGGTTTGCTGGAGGTTTATCATTTATTCTTTCAAAGAACCAACTCTTTGATTTATTAATTCTTTCTATTGTTTTCTTAGTCTCAATTGCCTTAATTTCTGCTCTGATGCTTATAATTTCCTCCCTTGCATGGTGTTTGGGCTTGACTTGCTTTTCCTTTTCTAGAAATTTGAGTTGCAACATTAGGTTATTTATTTGTGCTCATTCTGCTTTGTTGATGTGAGAATTCACACTATACACTAACCTCTTAGGACTGCTTCCATTGCATCCCACAGGTTTTGGTATGTTGTATCTGAATTTTCACTTAGTAGTAGCTATTGTTTAATTTCTTCTTTAATTTCATCTGTGAGCCATTGGTTGTTAAGCAGCGTGATATTCAATTTCAGTGTGTTTGTGAACTTTTTGCAGTTTCTATTTCCATTAATTTTCAATTTCATTGCTCAATGGTCGATAATATGCATGGGATAATTTCAATTTTCTTTGCATTTACTTAAACATATTCTATAGGTTGTATATGGTCTATTTTACAG